ATTAAATTCCGTTTAGACTTAGAATTTTAATTATTTTTAGTTATTAATTTGTTTATATTTTGCAAACATAACTTCTCCTATTTCTTTTAATTTTTTCTTCAATTTTCCAATTCCTGTAATAAGATCGGCATAGCGCTATAATCAACCTTGGCGGAAAAAATTTTATGAAAAGCTACATAGATTGAGACAAGATTTTAGAAATTCTTAATTTTGTATAGATATTCCTATAGTGAGACGTAAAGCAACGTTGTTTGTGTTTGAAAAGAAATTCTCTGCCCTCAATCAATACCACTTTATATCCCACTACGAATATCTACGAAAGATTAAAAATTTCTAAGACAAATCTTACTCTACGTTCCGCTAGAAGTATCTACGAGAAACTACGAATTTTTAAGAGCTTGTCTCAATCTTGTACTTTTTCGTAAAAATTTTTTTTCCGTCAGGTATGTAACGTTTTAGAATAAAAAGAAATTAGCTATGCAATAAATAAGTATAATTAAATATAATTATATAATTATTAAATTAAATATATAATTAAATATAAATATAATTATTAAAAAATTTCAAGAGAAATCAGACAATTTCTATATCCATTTATGAATTAAAGAATTGGAAAGTAATGGATCCTAGTAATATTCTTTTAAATCAACCTATTTTTTGCAATTTCGGCATAGGGGTTTATAGCCACAACTACGAATTCCGCGTCTTTCGCGATGACAAGGGGCTGCCAATCTCGATCAGGTAATAATTGGGTGCGACTGGTATCGTACACGTTATTTTGCATTTGCCGGAAGTACGTGTCGCGTGACTGAGGAAGCGCAGTACGCGCGGCACGTGTCCCCTTTACGACTTGCTTCGGTTAACACAGTCACGTTGATTGCATCTGCAATTCGTACAATAAAGCCTCGGCCGATAACGGCCGAGCTGGGATACGGATTGGCTAGTTACATGAGAGACTTACACAAATAATCGTAATAATCGTCGCGTACTTCCTCCGATAAGAAACTCCTATGCAGTTCACTATATTTCCTCGACGTACAACTCGCACATTCAAGGATGCTGTTTCCCTCTGAAGTTCGAGCGGATTCGTAAATATTATTGAAAGAGTAATTTCCTATAACGACTTAATCCCTTCCGTTGGAATTAACAATCTGTTGCAACAATTGTACCAATAATGCGATCGCAATTGTTTCTAACGATTTGAAATTACGCGCGCATAATAATTATTAAGTTGATCCGAAAGTTCATTCGTCAAATTATATTTTAGTAAAACTGTTATCGCTCAAAAAAATGGAGAATATTAGTGAGTTGAGAATATATGAGAAACGTACACTGAGAAAAAAATGCTGTTGATTCAATTAAAATCTATATTGCGGGCTGTCACTAACATAAGTAATAAATTCATGTATATTTTTATTGATACAAAAACTTTGATTATTAAAACAATAATCAAAACCTTTGTATCAATAAAAATATACATGAATTAATTACTTATGTTAGTCACAGCCCGCAATATAGATTTTAATTGAATCAACAGCATTTTTTTCTTAGTGTACCACATTCGCTATTTAATATATTAGTATCTAATTTGCTGAATTATCCAAGCTTGAACTTTATTCAGAAGAATACATAGTTGAAATGTTATCTCTTAGTAGCAAATGTTCATTGCTCTGCATTAATTACAAATTAACATACACAATTTAGATGTATGCATCTACTGAATTCCAACGCAAGAGATTAACGGCTGTAGTAAGAGATAGATTTATACTTCATGTGCTCTAATTTTAGTAACGAAACGTAGAATAGATTTTAGTGACTTTTTGATAAAATCTGTCACATTCTATCATTGATTTCGGTATTTTGAACAATGTTTGTTGGACGATAATTTTTACACCATACATGAAAATAATTCTCTTTTACACACATACATCTATAAATTAAATTATTTAAATAATGATAATTAAATGCGTCTCTCCTCTCTCTCTCTCTCTTTCTCTCTTTCTTTCACACGCACACACATACGTACACACGTACTTACGTACAGAGACACCGCGAACGAGAGTAAATTCGAAATGAGGGTCCACCGAAATTACAAGAAATCGGCGTTACAACATCCTTTAAGGTATCTCAGCGGCGACAACGTTCAACGTTTAATTAGTTTTGCTATATTTACATTTAAGGGAAAGATCGATCCAATATATCGTGTGATATAGTTATGCGATATAGTACAATAGCTTGAGATCACATAATAACATTGAATTGCGATAATAGAGGATACTATTGCTCATTATTATTACTATTATTATTAAAGCGAGAATAGTAATAACAATAATCACGCCAAAATACATGGCGAAATATATTTATAACCTGGATAACAATAATTAGAATACAATTAATCGAAAACTAGACAAAGGAGGAAACTATAATAGATTTAATTTAAATTCATGCGCGTGCGCGGCTCGAAAAATCGTCACATTTTTCATCTCGCATATCCATTTTTTTTTTTTACATTATTTCTTACATATATTTCTTCTCTCATCTTCTATAATTTGCTGCGTCTTTCTTCTCATATAGATTTTCATAGACATTTTTAAATATATGTATGTCGACGAGGCGAGCGTTGGCAAGGAATTCGCGAATCGAATTGACTCGCGTTTCGTACCGGGAGTAGGTGCGCAAATCTCACGCACCTTGTATGTTCGGAATCCGCAGTGGAAAGCTGTAGTCTAATACCGTAACAATCACCGTCAAATCGTCCCTCTCGGATGTGCGTCTCTTACGGACCCCGCTTATATTCGTTTTCGTTTAACTGCACGAACAAGATTTGGCACTAGACACCAAGAAACATGCCATCATGGCGGTTAATGAAGACCCTAATTGTAAGTTTTAAGTTAACTACATCCCTAGATTTTTATAATATATTACGCTTTTACAGCGTTATAGAACTCATTAAGCAATATTCTTGCAATTAGAGGTGATAACGACTCCAAGCATTAAGCAAAACGCACTATATTCTAATTACGTACATATCTCTTTTTAAACTTTTTATTTTTTTTGCGGCTATATCGAGAACTGTATCACTGCCTTGGCAGATATGTCGGGTGTCTGGTAGCTTAGGATCTCAACAAGTACACTCTTTTTTTTCATATACGTCCGATACGTAATAAATACACGACAATATTTTTTTCAAGTTAATGTTTACACGAAGAGATTACACCACATAGAGTGACACGTATATAGATTTCGTACATAGACATACGTCGTTTCACGTTACGGATAACATATTGCTACGCTACTTTCTATATTGCTTCTACGAACGTGTTCTATTTTCGCGGGGTCCAGTCGGCAGATCACGAGAATTACCGTCTGTCCGGACCGTGAGACAAATAAATCGTCGCAGCCAGAGTTTCCCGCGGCGAATCCTCATAAAGTTTATCATATAACTCGCAAATCCCGTGAACGCTTCGTACCTCGTCTCTAGTCTATCTTATTCTATTCTACTCTCTTTCTTACTCTCATTCACTCACTCAATCTTTCTCTCTCTCTCTCTCTCTCTCTCTCTTTCTCTCTCTCTCTGCATTATTTTTTTCTAACATAAGCTTAGATACTACTCTCTGTCCCGACAAATTCCACGGCATTCTCTATACATTCTTTCGTGCATGCACTGTAAAATGGTGGAAAACGGAAATTAATCCCGAAGAATTTACCGAGAAACGCCGGAATTTGCGACAAGCTCGAACGTTCTCTTTCTCTCTTTCTTTCGTTTTCCTTCACGTTTTATTCCCCTCTCGTTTAACCTACGGCGATGAGATCAGCGAGTTCCGGTAAATCGTATGCGCCAGAGTACTTCGCGTAAAATTGTCGCATCATTCTCGCGACGAAGGTACAAGATCTGATCGTAGCCGCAAAGCAATTTACGAAGAACCCTTTAAAACACCCGATCGTTTTCCTATCGTCGGTTTCCCTGCAGCCATTCAGGGAAACCAAATCGGGCGGTTCTTCTCGACGTATAGGACTGAATTCCGTTGTACAATTTGTTATATCCGGAAGGATGCGGGAGCATCGATATACCGATCACGCGATATCGATTACCTCGTCCCATTACGTTATTATTCTGCCTCGGTCGATCTTCTGATTCGTCTTTAATAGAATCGTGTCTCCAACATTTTTTTCTACACATTATTTTATCTCTACAACTGGCATTGTATATAATTATGCATCTTGAATTTAAGCCTTTACATTTAAAGATAACTTTTGCATCGTGTGCCTGCTCTTTTTTCATATATCATAAAACACGTCTAACGAATATACATATGATATATATATATATATATATCTTTTACTATCGCATGCTACGGTCTAACGAGCTTTTTTTATATTTTTTTCTACGACTTTTGCGTTACTTTAGGCTTTAGACTACCGTTACTCGTTTGTTACATACGATATGTGCGTAACAATAATATCGATGATGCAGAATACACAGAAAGACATTTCACAACGTGTCATCCTCGTTACGGCTACTTTTATCTCCGTAAATATTCGAGAATGCGAGATCTCCCGAGTTCAGACATTTATAACGTGCGCGACCTGTTTATAGAATATTATAGTACTAACAGATACCAAGTGTGGTGTTGTGCGACTTTTCCGAGTCTATCTTGAAAGATCATTCGTCTCATTTTTTTCTCAGAATTGTCGACTGCCTATCAGGAAAACTTTACTCGGTTACTAATAACTTCACATTTACACATTAGTTTGCCAAATGTTATCAAGTGCATGTCAACAGTTGTGCTTATTGTCGCTGTATTTGTAGCTTCCTATCATTTATTAAAACAGAAAAATATGAATATTTTTCGATAGCAGTCAATTAGAAAACGCGAAAATTAGGAGGAATAACATGTTATTGTCTTTCAATTGATGAAAATTATTGCAGAGAAATTAAAAATCAACGTAACATAAAGACAACTTCTATTTTTTGTATATGTTGAGAAAATAAAGAGAAAGAGAACATGCATTCTAAGTGAAATAATGGATTATACCGAGAATACTTAGAATTATTATTTTACTGGTCCTCTTCCTCATTCTGGTAGGTGACATAACGCACAGATGATTTTTCGCCAATTATTAACGACTGTAATTGGGATCAGAATTAGCGAGAGGTTCTTTAAAATTTAATAGAAAAATTTAGAAAGAGACGTCTAATATAATTTTACCTTTTTCTCTTCCTTGGTTGGCGGCGCCCTTAGGAAATACATGAGAGGGGCGTAAATGAAATTTAATATAGCTATGCCGAAAAGCATCCACTCGAAACCGATACTGTTGACCAAAGTTCCGCTTAATGCTGGACCTATCAAAGTAAGAAATGTTTTATTGTTTAATTAAAAAAAATTCTTTTGTTTATGTCTCGATCGTTAGTTATATTTTACAATTATATGCTATATATACATATATACCTTCTATATTATCATTGACACATTTTCTAAACAACGCTAATGGTGTTCTTAATCTAATAGAATGATAGAGTCTTTCAGAAGCATCGGTGGTTCAGTGGTAGAATGCTCGCCTGCCACGCGGGCGGCCCGGGTTCGATTCCCGGCCGATGCAAACTTATTTTTTTTTATTTTTACTCTTTCAATCTTCAAAATTTATTTTAGATAATTTATAATTTACACCAGACCTCAGGAGAAATTTCCATTTAAAATTCAACATTCTATTTTGAATTCTGAATACAATTTCTACACACATTTTTATAACATTCGTGTTGAAACAGAATGTGTTCAACATCTTGATTGTATCTCTTTAGGGATTAATTTTTTAGTATTGTATTATTAATTTGAAGAGTAATTTAATTTTTTGTTTAGTTATATATTAGTTATTTTTAATTTATAGCATTTAAATAGGAAAAAAAGTAATAAAAATTACAAGTACTGCAACTGTTATTTTTCTTTTGTCAATAATATTAGATTGAAGAGAAATTAACTATAATATGTGTTATAGAATACATATGTATTGAAATTTCTGAGGAAGTTAATATATAGTACATTGCTTGCAAATTAAACATAAAGTATGATCGTAATTACCAATTCGATTTTATTCTAAATGAAAAAAAGAGAAAGGGGGAAAAATACTAGATACTTAAATCTTACAACAATTTTACGCGGGACATGTTCAATACTTTGCGTTAGTGCTTAGAAAATGTTTTATCTGAATTTGTCAGACGGTTTTATTAGCGTGCAGTTGTCGAGTAAAGGAAAGTAAAATGTGAAAGAGACATATATGCAAAAGCCAATTCACATACCTATTGCAAAACCGAGACAGAAAGCTACGTCACCGATGGCGTAAACGCTCCCGTAAACAGCGGTGTGCCTTATATCAACCAGATATCCCAATTCGGGCATCATCGAACTGTCCACCATGCCGATCGCGAATCCCAGCCCCGCGTTCGGCACGATCAAGTGATCGATACTTTTTGCTAGCGGAATCTACGAAATAGATTAAAAAGAAATAAGATTAAGTAGCTTTAATCAAGATTACGTTCCAATTAACCGCGGTTACTTAAAATGGAGACTCTAACTATTTCCAATTTAAACGGCATATGCTCGTTTCTACTAATACAGATTAACTTTTATCCCGATTTAACTTGTTCTTCATCTTTTATTTTAATTCTCAGAACTAGAAAGAGAATTTAGAAACTAATACAGTTTAACTTTTATCCCGATTTAACTTGTTCTTCATCTTTTATTTTAATTCTCAGAACTAGAAAGAGATAAAGATTAAATTGAACCGAGATTAAAGACAATGGGGAAATAGGAATTATAAGTGTATTGTATTGCGATTCATATGTAATTTCAAGCAAGTTATCGAGAAATTGCACTCTCGGTGATAAAAATAAAAAATGTATATGCATACTTACGCACATCAAGCAGATACCGATAACGACGAGTCCAATCAAGGAAGCTAGCCATCTGTAACAAATACATATCGCGATAAGAACTGTCGGACCGTTTTACAAAAAAGATATCGTCGCCCGAACAGGGACTTGAACCCTGGACCCTCAGATTAAAAGTCTGATGCTCTACCGACTGAGCTATCCGGGCGATATATAGTTCGAGTTTGCCAATTTCATCATTATTAAGATACTTTCGAGTTTGAACGAGGGTACTCGACTGACCTGCCCATTTTGTGTCCGAGCGGTCCGAAAAGATTTGTTCCGATCAGGTAACTGATGCTCGCAGGTAAAAACGTGGCCCCTTGTTTCCAGCGACTTGCACCCATCGTATCCATCATCCAGATAGGTAGGCTCGGTTCCAGCATAGCGATGCCCATATTTGCGAACGTTATCGCGCCTGGAACATCGATAGTCTTAAATCTATTGAAATCAGAACTGAGCCATGTATTTAAAATATTTTATTTATTTAAAACACTTTTTGGAATAAAAGTATATTTTACATTTTGTATTTCAGCGATGCACATGAAAGTATTACACTGATAAAAAATATCTTAATTTCAAAGTAATTTTGATTGATCCAAAGAAGTAATTTTTTTGAAATTAGGATCTTTTTTCTAAGTACACGTATTTTGTGTTTAAAATTTATAGAAAGTTTCATGTATTTCGTAATTGAAATAATGAGATTAATTGTATAATATTTGAAATATAAAATACAAAATATCTTTCATTATTAATAGTGAGATACAAAACACAGAATACTTTTATATACTCCTATGAAATATAAAATAGAAAACATTTTTATATGCCCTGCTCAGAAGAAATACAAAATATAAGATACAATTGTCTTACAAATATCGTTTTTCAAATAAAAGTATTTCAAATACATACCCAGTCGTAATTAAAATCATATTTTATATTTAACTACACTGAGAAAAAAAATTGTTGATTTAAAAAAAACAGTTTATTCACACATTTAAATGCAACGGTCGCGGGCTGTTAAGCAAATATTTATTAATTCAAACGAATAACATATTTTAAATTACAAGATTTTGTTGACATGAGAAAGACTCACATATGTGAGTTAATCTAAATATATAAATAGTGTAATTAAATAATTACTATAAATTAAACGTATTTAGTCAAATTAATAACTTTTCTCTCAGTATTGATTTGATTAAAAACGATAATAGATTAGAGAAAAGGCACGTAAGAATCGGTTAAGATTTAAAATATATAAGAAAGTCAATGCATAAAGTTTTCGCGCTTATTATTGTTCTGTATTTAACGTATTTATTAATATATTTTATGCACATTGACCTTCTTATATATTTTAAATCTTAACCGATTCTTACGTGCCTTTTTTAACCTATTATTGTTTTTAAAAGTTAAGAGTCCTTTATTACTTGTTAATAGATTTTATTGTTTTATATTTCTCTCACCAGCTGCTAAAACGATATAGGGATCGGTGATAAGGGACTTTAACGACGGTGGTTCTGCTTCCGTATACACAACCGATGGTTGGAGCATCAAAAGCTGTAATACTTGAATGTTCCGAAGCATTATTAATTATTATGAAATATGAACGCTGAATTAGGAGAAGTCTTCATTTTTAAAGTGACAATATATAAACGATTTAATATAAGAAATATTACGTTTAAAATATCACGCGTATATCAGAAAATATTTCTAAACTGTTGAGGAAAATTTCTGGTTGAACAAACTAAAAGATTCTGATCATAATCAGTCAGAATTTTGATTATCTCAACTTGAATTATATTAAATAGATTTATTAAAATTCTGATTAATGCAACCAAAATCTTCTTCTTTGGTGTGTACATTTACATTTAAATTGCAAAATTTAAATTCGACATAACTTATCAGTTATGTGTGTGATAAGTGTTTTTTTATTTGTATTTATACTCACATCCATCGCCAAGGGCTAACGCGGAAAGGACTAAAAACGGAGCGGATTTTCCTACAAATTCGTACATTACTCCGCCGAATGGAGGGCCGATAAGAACGCCAAGGGCCAATCCGCCCAGTGCGATACCCATCGCGTTACCACGTTCTTTGTCATCTTGATATCTCTCCGCTAACATACCCATACCTAATAGAGAATTGTATGTACGATGAATAATTATAACCGTGTACTACGTCTTTGGAGAAAGAGACTTCGAGTCGCAACAGCATCGGTGGTTCAGTGGTAGAATGCTCGCCTGCCACGCGGGCGGCCCGGGTTCGATTCCCGGCCGATGCAATCTTTTTGAATTTATTTTGTTAATTGTTCACGTAATTTTAAACATGCTATTCTTACAGTCTCTATCTTTAGCAAATACAAGGAAGATTCCGCTAAAGAATTGTTATTTAAAAATTTTGCTAGATACAGATTTGAAAATAATTTCGTTGGACTATCAAAAACTTTTTACGGCATTGCTCATTAAGTCCGAACGCTCTGCATAATTATTTTGATAGTTTAATAAAATTATTTTTAAATGTGTGTATACTTATTGTTAACTAAGTTTTTATTTAGATGCTTCAGCAAAATCATTCTGTTCATATATCGTTTATTTTTTATTTTTATAATACCCGATCTAAAAAAATATAAAAATTTAAAAACCTTCGTGGAATTCTTTTAAAGGAATGCCAAAGCAAAATAATTTTGCATCGGCCGGGAATCGAACCCGGGCCGCCCGCGTGGCAGGCGAGCATTCTACCACTGAACCACCGATGCTTGTGTAGAATTATGAGAAATAGACTTGACGAGCATGAAAATTGTATATAGTACGAGTATTATACATATAACAAGGTTGCCAATTATGAGCACCAAATTAGTATGAATTAATACAGACGAGCTTTTACCGGAAACGCTAGAACATGATGAACCGATACCCTGAAGAGCTCGTGCTAGAAAAAGTATACCGTAGCTTCGACCGAAAGCAAAAATCAGCGTGGATAGGAACATAATAATGAATCCGGTAAACATAGGTATGCTGTATCCGATCCTAAAAACGAACAATACATTTAAAAGTTGAACATAAATATTATTAAGTGTAACATTTCTTGATTGATGAAAACATCAATCTAATATATTCCGAATAGAAGATTGTCACACGAATTTTGAGGGGCTTACTTGTGGGTCAATGGCCCAACTATGGGGTTAGCCAGCAATTGGACGAAAGCCTTGGAAGCGAACATCATTCCTACTGCTACGGTCTCTTCCAACAATTCCCGATGTCTCTGTTCCTTTTCCTTCGTCTCCGACGATGTGAGATTGGCTGCAGTAATTTCTAAAATAAAAAAATTCGAGGGTGTCGAAAGATTTTGTAACTGAATAGGAAAATCTTTGCCTCCTTCTCTCTTTCGTCTCTAAAAGTGTTCTCTCCGTTTTCTAAAGATAGGATTTTATCTAATACTATAACTTTTTTATCTTTAATACTACGAATAGTATAAATCAACAATTGTATTATCCGAATATTTTATTATTTATCGTTTGCAATAAGAAATGATGCGATAAAGCGCGCTTTACCCGATAGATTTATAGAAGGGGTTGTAACATGTAAGAATTCCAATGGGGATGCCGCCGATACGTTTGGAGCACAAGTACATTTTGTCGTTGTTGTTGCTATTGGCGATGTGGTGGTGACGACCGTAGTTTGATGAGATGCGCCTCCTTCCAGATGATCACTTAATGTTGCATTAGGATGTTTGATATCGTAAAGAAATTCCGGTATTATTGGAACTGCAAAAATTCACACACACATATAGGGTAATATTTTCGATTGCACTTATTATGTAATTTGTTTATTTTTTAATTTGCTCACTGATATATGATACTCGGAATGAAGCTGTTTAAATTCTAAACTAATTTAAAAAAGTAAACAATAAATAATTAATTTGTGCTCCAATTACTGCGTTTGACTCTTACCTGTTTAGTTTTTTTATTTTTAATTTGAATATTAGAGAGTCCTTTTATATACTTTATTAATTATGTAATACTTTTAAAATATTATTTATGCAAAATAAAAAATAGCGAATATTGATAAGAAAATCAATCAATTAAGATATATTTAAAATAATATTTACATACATACATATATAGTAAGTGTATCTTTACTAAAATTATACATATATATATAATCCAGATGCAACAATTAGAAGTTAATTAAAATTAAACTATAAATAAAAACATACGTTCTCTCTATCTTGTGCGATATCAAATTTATAAAGAAAGAAACATAGAAAGCAAAGCGGTCTGTCCTCTAAAGCACATTGAAGGATCTTGTTAGCAATCGGGGGTGTAACTCAGTGGTAGAGTGTCTGCTTCGCATGCTGAAAGTCCTGGGTTCAAATCCCAGCACCTCCAAGCTTTCTTTTTTTTCTTTTTTTTTTGTTTATTTACATCTCAAGTGGTTTTTCAGAATTTATTATTGTGCGACATAAAATTTTAATTATTTTAAAAATACTGAAAATTTATTTATAATTGAATTAACTAAGATTTATAAAGATGAATATATCAAACAATTCAAAAATATTGTATATAAATATAAACTTTATTTTATTTGTATTGAAGTTACAATATACAATACATACAGACACATAATTAATTGAGAACAATTTTTTATAACAATTGAAAGTGGATTTCACGATTTGTTCGACAACCGTGACGACGTTTGCAGGTCGTATATTTGTTACGAGACGATCACACTACATAAATGCATGACCACTTATCCGGATTGGCGGTGTGATACACAAAGGTCCATACGTTCTTTCGACATTCCGGTCCAGTGCGATAAACGAACGTTTTTTTGAATTAAACATAAGTTTACGAACCGAGAAGAGCGTCGACAGAATTTGAGCAAGAAGTGGTGATAAAGGTATTAAAAATTAGAAAAACTGTATAATGTACCGCGCAATAATATAAATTCATCTCTCTTTAGGAACGAATTTTTAAAGTTATATTTATATGGACAAAAGTGATTTAAATTTTTATTTAATTAAACTTAATTTAAATTAATATGAATTAAACAGAGAGCAAAAGAATTAAAACATACTATGAAAGAAATTAAAAATACTATGATGAATATTGTTTGTTCGTCTCTTTGTTTCAACAATTTAAAATTAAAAGATCGAAACATACATATCCTAATGTCTCTGAAGAAGTTGAGCATACATATAATAAATATAATAACAATAATCAATAAAAATTCTTCTACAATTAATTACACCCTTTTATACATTTACTTTAATAATTTACAATATTAATCGTAATATCTTCAAGAATTTCTTTCTTTTTTTTATATGCTGTGCAGTTAGATTGGAGTAGTATATTATTATATGATTTAATCTCTATTTTTCTTTTTTAAGTCTGTTAATCTTATAATGAACCACAATAAGAGACCATGGTTAAAGAAAAGGTAATGAAGTTAATGATTCTGAATACATGACCTACTAGAACTTAAAGTTATGTTTTAAAGAGGCAACTCTAAAATCTGAAAAAGGAGATTACCAGAAAGAACGAGATCAGCTTAAATTTTCAATAATACGTTAAAATAAATTAACAAGAGTTTGACGATAAAATTACCAGAATAATATAAATAATATAAATATTGCACAAAGAGAGAGATCAAAAATTTTCGTGGCTAATTAAACAGCAATCAATAACGTGTTAAAACCGTACTGACATGAGAGATCGGATTTAATTAATGTCGTACGCCATATATGACATAATGATAGAAATATTAATAGGCTCTGACATTACTCACCTACGGTCGTCAGCAACATGTTATCCAGCAGCAATGCGATGGCGACGATAACGAGAACGAGCCTCCGAGATTGCCGACATCGTTGTAACCAACCGCTCCAGTCTCCACCTCCCATTCTCAAATTTTATCCTTCCTCTGATGTTCTACAACATCGGCAAAACAAACAGCGAGAGATGTGAAAAATGCTTAAATTAATAAAATTTCGTTGCGTTGAATATCGCGTGGTTTTCGTCGCGCTGTGTTCTTACCAATTATATAGGGCTCAAACAATAGATACAAGGAATGTTCCTTTTATTATCAAATGAAACTCACGTGACAGTTGAGTGGATTTCATTTAATAACAGTAGTAAGAGTCACGTGGAAACTAAATCGATTATATTTCCGATTGATTTTCTTCCAAGAGTTGTATAATATTTACGTAGATATGTATAAGAAACTATATTCAGCGCGCAGTTATATAATAATTAATGTATTTTTTGACACATATAACTTCCAAGAATATTACACACAGATCCTTGAATTCATTATCATACAAAAGTAAATAAAATTGTACTGTCAAAATATATCTCACTTTTATTTTGAAGCCTAATTTTGACGAGTCTTCTTTAAGAAATCATTTCATCAAAATGGGTGAACAATTTTATACTATTTTCATTACTACGCTTCCTATTTTATCTTGTATATCTTTTATATATTTACGAGAATATTATACATAGAATTTCGCCGCTCGCGTTCACCTAGCGATACTGCGTATTGCTCACGAGTGAGCGGCTTTAGGGCTGCGGTCGAGTTGTCACTACGAATGCTTTAAAGCGTTTCTTGATTGGTCAGTTTGTATAACTCTTCAAAGCATTCGTAGTGGCAACTCGACCGCAGCCTTAGTTGGGTCATTCTATCTCTGTGTGGATTATATGTATTAAAATTTATATGGAGCATCTACATAGAATTTACGTTGAAATTTTGAGGAAAATTTATTCCAATTTGGCAATAAAATCACAATATATTCACGTGGATATCATGTCTATGAATTTTGGTCATGTAATTCACATAAAATATGTTTTGAGAACATTAACGTGGACATTACTATATGTATCTGTTTTTATAGAGAAGTGGATAAATAAAAATTACGAGAAATCAATCAATCCCGACGGAACGGTTCTTTCACGAAGCTAAACAATCGAGTTCTGTATTGCGTTGACGCTTTATTCGCCTTTGAACACTTTTCAATCAATTACTTAATTGTTAAACCTGCTACATTTGATGACTTCCTCGTGTAGTTTCGAAAAAAGACACATTGGACACTAAATGTAAACACTAAAGTATCGAATGACATTTTTCCGAAAAGTTGAGATATTTGATAATTAAATACTAGTCGGTTTAGAGAGCGGTTGTTTATTACTAAAATTGCATTTGTGAAACATTATTTTTTTCTAAAAATAACATACTGATAAATTAATAAATTAACAGCCCTAACTCGAGTATACTTTACAAAGCAGTTAGATAACACGTTACGTTATAGATATAATCTTACAATAGATATAATCTTACATAGATATGATCTTGTTAGATGGGTTTATGATTATTGGTGCGAAATATCCTTTTTGATGCTTTATGTTCAAATTATAAGCAATATTAAAGAACAAAATCGCGCGAGTCGTTTCCACTGGAAGAAGTCTTGAATGGGGACGGAAATAGTCTGAATGCCGGAAAAGGCGCATCTACTTTAACAGAAGATAAAATTGTCTTCGCTGAAAACTGTCAATTGTGGAAAGTGGTCAAAATTTGCGATTTACTCCGTCGCAATTTCTTTTCGATTTGGACAAATCGTATTGCTCTTCCACTTACCTTCGGGATTAGTTTTGGAATGCTTGCGATGAATTTTATCTTTTTAAAGATTTTGCGCATAAAAATGATATTCGTTTATTATTTGTTATTTATTACGTTCTGCTTAATTTTTATTTACTCGCTAAATAAATCACTATATATTAAATTTAATTATACGCTTTTTTTTTTAAACCGGCGTATCAAATTTATTTTAATATATTTATATAGTACAAAAGTGATTATTAACAATTTAGGTTTTAATTTATAAGACTAAAAATTTACATTGTTATAAATTAATTTTTATTAATTAACAAAAGAAGGAAGTGTGTGTGTGTGTAACACAAATAAAAGGCTGATTTATCATTCTATTCCTGTACAAAAAATTTTGAAGACGTAGAAAAGCAAGAGAATATTATTCTTAAGTAAGAAGAAAAAATGATGCTACAAATTCAATATCACCGAGTAAATATTAGCTCGCGTCAGATTTGTATCAAATTAAGTATTCGTAAGAATGTATATATGCGACGTTAATCTCAAAGTTAAATGAAAGTTTAGTAACGTAAAAAATAAGCTATACATATAATATTTCCAGAAGATTTCTTTTCGTTTAGAGAGGCTCAGTTGAGCGTTAAAATCAATGACATTTTGAAGGAGATAGATTTTATAAAAAGTTTTATGCACGAAGGAGAAAGAAGGAGAGAGAGAGAAAGAGAGATAGAATAATATAAAGATAATATTTTTACTTGCTTTTAAACAAATGAAATATTATTTAAATGTTACAAAGATATATAAGTTTTTTTTAAAGGTCTTTGTTTTCGTCGCGATTTCTTCTAACGCCAACTTTTTCCTTTAGTAACGTTTAAGGATTGTATCAAAAGTACAGCAGTCTTAATTGTCGAAGTTTTTTTTTAGAAAGCGCCCGCTTCCGTTTCGTCTCGTTGAAACTCGCTATCGACTCGATGTTCGTTTAGCGCAATACAGCGCAATACAATTAACCGCATTAATTACAGGCTTTTAATAGTACCTGCGTCGTCCTGCCCCCGACCCACGTTCCGCGCGCGTGAAGCCCGCTTCTCTTTTATTCGTCATAACTCGGTTACCCCACGCTTTTAGTCCACCTAATTTTCATGCTCGCTCTTTGAAAAGGCAGGCATCAAAGGCTATTGCGACATTCAGCGCTGTCACAATACTTTATCCTATTTTTTACTAAGAAGCGTCGCGTAAGAAAGAATTTCACTGTAAAACGAATCAAAACGCGATTGATGCATTATACTTCTATCTGACACTTTTCTCACCTTTCATTTAACTTAAGTGTGATTCAAACGAGAGAATTCTTTCGATCTGCCGTTTTCTTGCCTACGGATAATCGTATCTTTCTTTTTCTCATTCATAATAAAAAGAATTATCAAATAATAAGACCGATGATAGCGTGCATCTCTGTAGCCGATTTTTACGGAGACCCATGGAGATGGAAAGAGTACGAAGCTGTTAGGCATCGCGAGATAAGAGTTGTTTAAGGGTCGAAGAGGCAGAAGAAGCCATGGGGACGCACGCACGTACGCACGCACGCATACGCAAAGGGCGGGTTATACGTCTCCACCACTGACGAAGTCGAAGATTGATAGCGTAGAAAGGGGGAGAGGGATAGGCGGATGGAGAATTGCCGTGAAGGGAAAAGGAGCGTGAGAGCCGGGGAAGCAATCAGCATTTTCCTGAAAGCCAACTCCCTGGGGTCCGCGCGCATTATTCTCGGGAAAGGACCGCTTCCCACTCGTGCCACTTATAAGCTCCGCTACCTTCCGCCATGACTGACTCCCTTCTGATCCCCTTCCCTCCCCCCCTTCTCCTTTCCGGACCCCTTTCTTCTCTATCCTCCACCTTCACCCTCTCCTGCGTTCTCTTATCTTCTTGGTAATTACGACAAAGAATGACCGCAAGACGCGCTTCTGTTTGTACTGAGCTTTCGTACTAGCGCACGATGGGATGTTGAACGTTCCCGTGTCTCCATAACTCGCTGGCTATTCCCATTGGAAACATCCCCCGATCAATCTAACATCGTGTGCCTTCCAGTCCTACGGAGATCCCTTTTTTTTTCCGCCGATTTGTCGCCCGTCTTGTTCCCGCTGCGAGTCGCGCGATGGATGTGTGCTTACTCTTTTAAAACACGATGGTTAGGGTATATAAAAAGCCCTTTCAATCTCTTCTTCCAACAAACTGTATAGCGTCGCTTCTTCTATCAAATGTTTACTTATGATTGAATGAGAACTTTTTTTATTTTGTTCACACAAGAGGAAAGCGTGTCTAAACAATTATAAATCGAAATTCAATCGACAAGAATAAATCAATTGATAGAAATAATTCAATTTTCGCAGAAAGTATAGTGTGTTTCAAAGTTAGTTTGGCGCGTTTAATTTTACGGATTTAATACACACACAATGGTATGAATCTATCTCTACTACCTTCTTTTTCAATGACACAAAGTATTCGTGATAAGCGATGTAATTGTGTATACATAATTACAAGTGGGAGATGCGAATTTTGGATGAAGCGCTTATATACGCAAAGCTCGACAGTATAGGTGCCGGGATTCTGAAGAGGTGGTTGACAAGCGATACGAGTCGTTGAAAGGGTATGACGGGGTGATCGTTTTGCGATTGACAGCAACTTCTCGGTAGCGGCTTGATGAAGTGGTTGCTGGGATCTGCCGACTCATCGACGCGCTCGTTATGTCGATCGCGTGCGGAACCCGCGTCGGTGTGAGTTTCGTACGCGATACGGGAGATTACGCTATCGCACCGCATACATGGGATCAACTGACCAAAGTTTTCGTCATTTGAGCTAATAGAAAAGTCGTGTCGGCCGTCAACGCGTGGGATTTATTGTAAAACGTGACCACTCTGCGTAGCCGTTTCCGCGTGCGAATCGCGCGTGCGCGCCAGATCGCCAGAATTTTTCACATATATAATAAAGGAAATAGAAAATCCCGTCGTTTCGCGGTAACACGCTCCGAAATTGAACTTATTTTCGCGTGAATGGTTGAAACCGACAGAGAGGCTATCGTGGAATTCTCGTGCGCGTAGCGCCAATAAAAATTTTCCACTCGCACGTGTTTCATGCAGTACTAATAATAGAAAACACTTGAATACGACGATAATCAATCAACGTGCTAATTTTTGTTTAAATGTTTGTTGGGATAATATTTTCTAAGTTTTTAATTAATTATTCAACAGAACGTTTTGTATTTCTTTTCGCTTTTAAAATAAATTATGAGCGAATTTATTTGAAAATATA